CCCCCCCCCTCCCAGTCCGGACACTTTCCCCCCCTTCCAGTCCGACACTTTCCCCCCCTTCCAGTCCAAGCACTTCCCCTATATGATATATACAGCCCCCCCCTGTACACGTCCTCCCCCTACAGGCTCCATATATACAGCCCCCCCCTGTACACGTCCTCCCCCTACAGGCTCCATATATACAGCCCCCCTGTACACGTCCTCCCCTACACAGGCTCCATATATACAGCCCCCCCCTGTACACGTCCTCCCCCTACAGGCTCCATATATACAGCCCCCCCTGTACACGTCCTCCCCCTACAGGCTCCATATATACAGCCCCCCCTGTACACGTCCTCCCCCTACAGGCTCCATATATATAGCCCCCCTAAGGGCAGGTTATTTACAGCTCCCCCAACCCCTCCACACCAAGGCGGACAGGTAGCCAATCACAGGGCGTGTGTCACAGGGCAGAGAAGCGGTATATGAGAGGCACACGCACCCAATGTATCGCAGTAACACGTCCGTCACGGTTTTGGCGGACTTGACGATGGGGGAATTGGGTTCGTTGAAGGTTCTGGCGTTTGTGTTCGATGTAACGGACTCCCAGATTAGCGCTGAAATCCTCCTACACAACAAGACAAGAACTTCAATGAGAGGAAAATGGCACCACGCTGACAGAGGAATGGAAAGGGCCCCACCAGTGACACCCACACAGAGCTGCTCATATTGCCCCCCTCGGTGTGCCTTCCTGAAACTAGACCCAGTCCAATACCAGGAGCCCGACTCTCCTGACCAATCAAATGCCGATCCACCCAGACTATCCAAGGTGCATCTCTTGGGTCACGGAGTCACTCGCTGGACAAGAACCTGGCAATAGGAAAGTCTATGGGCCTGTTCACACTCATGGAGCCAGTCAGCGTGCTTCACTCATGTGCTTTTCATACTTCTGTGATGCTTTATTGAAGCTTAGGAAATGCCCTGAATACGTTCATTTTATATATTTTTTAAAGGGGCCAAGTAGTACCCCACTCAGCAGATCCTAGCTCATTAGTACCCCCAACTCTGCTGATCCCCCCGCTCATTAGTACCCCCCCACTCTGCTGATCCCCCACTCAGTAGTAACTCCCAGCTCCACCGATCGCCTGCTCAGTAGTAACCCCAAGCTCTGCTGATCCCCCACTCAGTAGTAAACCCCATCTCTGCTGATCCCCCACTCAGTAGTAACCCCCAGCTCTGCTGATCCCCCACTCAGTAGTAACCTTAAGCTCTGCTGATCCCCCACTCAGTAGTAACCCCCAGCTCTGCTGATCCCCCGCTCAGAAGTAGCCCCCAGCTCTGCTGATCCCCTGCTCAGTAGTAACCCCCAGCTCTGCTGATCCCCCACTCAGTAGTAACCCCCAGTTCTAATGATCTCCCACTCAGTAGTAATCCCCAGCTCTGATGATCCCCTACTCAGTAGTAACCCCAACGCTGCTTATTCCCCACTTAGTAGTAACCTCCAGCTCTGCTGAGCCCCACACAGTAGTAACCTCCAGCTCTGCTGATCCCCTACTCAGTAGTAACCCCCAGCTCTGCTGATCCCCCACTCAGTAGTAACCTCCAGCTCTGCTGATCCCCCCTACTCAGTAGTAACCCCCAGCTCTGCTGATCCACCACTCAGTAGTAACCCCCAGCTCATATGATCACCTACTCAGTAGTAACCCCCAGCTCTGCTGATCCCCTACTCAGTAGTAACCCCCAGCTCTGATGATCACCCACTCAGTAGTAACCCCCAGCTCTGATGATCACCTACTCAGTAGTATCTCCCAGCTCTGCTGATCCCCTGCTCAGTAGTAACCCCCAGCTCTGCTGATGATCACCAACTCAGTAGTAACCCTCAGCTCTGCTGATCACTTACTCAGTAGTAACCCCCAGCTCTGATGATCACCTACTCAGTAGTAACCCCCAGCTCTGATGATCCCCCACTCTGTAGTAACCCCCAGCTCTGCTGATCCCCTGCTCAGTAGTAACCCCCAGTTCTACTGATCTCCCAATCAGTAGTAATCCCCAGCTCTGCTGATCCCCTACTCAGTAGTAACCCCCAACACTGCTGATTCCCCACTCAGTAGTAACCTCCAGCTCTGCTGATCCCCCGCTCAGTAGTAACCTCTAGCTCTGCTGATCCCCTACTCAGTAGTAACCCCCAGCTCTGATGATCACCCACTCAGTAGTAACCCCCAGCTCTGATGATCACCTACTCAGTAGTAACTCCCAGCTCTGCTGATCACTTACTCAGTAGTAACCCCCAGCTCTGCTGATCCCCTGCTCAGTAGTAGCCCTCAGCTCTTCTGATCACTTACTCCGTAGTAACCCCCAGCTGTGATGATCCCCCAGCTCTGATGATCACCTACTCAGTAGTAACCCCCAGCTCTGCTGATCACCTACTCAGTAGTAACTGCCAGCTCTGCTGATCACTTACTCCGTAGTAACCCCCAGCTGTGATGATCCCCCAGCTCTGATGATCACTTACTCAGTAGCAACCTCCAGCTCTGATCACCTACTCAGTAGTAACTCCCAGCTCTGCTGATCCCCCACTCTGTAGTAACCCCCAGCTCTGCTGATCACTTACTCAGTAGTAACCCCAGCAGCTCTGCTGATCCCCTGCTCAGTAGCAGCCTCCAGCTCTGCTGATTCTCTGATTTGCTGATGTTCCTCTCTCTGCAGGCCTCACTCATCTGCGTTAATGGATTACCGTTTGCCGCAGGTCACGTCATCACCTTGTGCATCCTGGGTTCCGCATTGCCCAGGCAATGGACCAGACGAAGCCACAGATCATTACATGTCATCCTGATGTACGCACTCTCCCCATTCCATAACAGCGAGGACCTCTGGAGCAGCCAAACACTATTGTGACTAAACCTACCGACCTACCTACCTAGTCAGGAGGGGCTGCAGGTGACGTTGGAGCAGATAGTCCCGGTGGATGGTCAGCAGCTCCCTCACTGGCATCACCAATGACTGCAGAGCAGACTGGTAAAAGGGTGCTGACATCAGGATGACATGTGATGCACTGCAGCTCGGTCCCGCCCACTACCCAGGTGATGGAACACCCAAAAAGAGCACAAATGTAGTGCTAGTTGCTTTCATTTGTGAGTCGTTACAAATGGGAATCTAGTTTCAGAGAGACACACAAGGGAAGGTTTCCTGGCTAACAAAGGCAACGACAGGCACCTTGGAGGTGATTGTTGGTGAGCAGGACACTTTAATCCCTTCAACACTGGGCACCTTCCCCCCCCCCCCCCCTTCAGCTTTCAGTGCTATCACACTTTGAATGACAATTGCGCGGTCATGCAACACTGTAACCAAGCTAAATTTTTTTCACACAAAGAGCTTTCTTTTGGTGGTATTTAGTCACCACTGGGTTTATTAACCGCTTACCTACAGGACACTTCTACCCCCTTCCTGCCTACCGGGCACTTCTACCCCCTTCCTGCCCCCCTGGACCTTCTACCCCCTTCCTGCCCCCCGGGACCTTCTACCCCCTTCCTGCCTACCGGACACTTCTACCCCCTTCCTGCCTACCGGACACTTCTACCCCCTTCCTGCCTACCGGGCACTTCTACCCCCTTCCTGTCTACAGGACACTTCTACCCCCTTCCTGCCTACCGGGCACTTCTACCTCCTTCCTGCCTACCGGACACTTCTACCCCCTTCCTGCCCCCCGGGACCTTCTACCCCCTTCCTGCCTACAGGGCACTTCTACCTCCTTCCTGCCTACCGGACACTTCTACCTCCTTCCTGCCTACCGGGCACTTCTACCCCCTTCCTGCCTACCGGACACTTCTACCTCCTTCCTGCCTACCGGGCACTTCTACCCCCTTCCTGCCCCCGGACACTTCTACCCCCTTCCTGCCTACGGGCACTTATACCCCCTTCCTGCCCCCGGACACTTCTACCCCCTTCCTGCCTACCGGGCACTTCTACCCCTTCCTGCCTACAGGACACTTCTACCCCCTTCCTGCCTACCGGGCACTTCTACTCCCTTCCTGCCCACCGGGCACTTCTATCCCCTTCCTGCCCACCGGACACTTCTACCCCCTTCCTGCCTACAGGGCACTTCTACCCCCTTCCTGCCTACAGGGCACTTCTACCCCCTTCCTGCCTACCGGACACTTCTACCTCCTTCCTGCCTACCGGGCACTTCTACCCCCTTCCTGCCTACAGGGCACTTCTACCCCCTTCCTGCCCACCGGGCACTTCTACCCCCTTCCTGCCCACCGGGCACTTCTACCCCCTTCCTGCCTACAGGACACTTCTACCCCCTTCCTGCCTACCGGGCACTTCTACCCCCTTCCTGCCTACAGGGCACTTCTACCCCCTTCCTGCCTACAGGACACTTCTACCCCCTTCCTGCCTACAGGACACTTCTACCCCCTTCCTGCCTACAGGGCACTTCTACCCCCTTCCTGCCTACAGGGCACTTCTACCCCCTTCCTGCCTACAGGACACTTCTACCCCCTTCCTGCCTACAGGACACTTCTACCCCCTTCCTGCCTACAGGGCACTTCTACCCCCTTCCTGCCCAGGCCAATTTCCAGCTCTCAGCGCTGTCACACTTTGAATGGCAATTGCGCGGTCATGCAACACTGTACCCAGATGACATTTTTATAATTTTTTTGTGACAGATAGAGCTTTATTTTGGTGGTATTTAATCACCTCGGGGGTTTTTATTTTTTCTTAAACAAACCAAAAACCACTGAAAATTTAAAAAAAAAAAATGTTTCTTCTTAGTTTTTGTTATAAAATTTTGTAAATAAGTGATTTTTCTCCTTCACTGTTGTGCGCTAATGAGGCTGTAGTGATGGGCACTGATAAGATGCACTGATGGACACTGATAGGTGGCACTGATGAGGAGGCACTGATGGGCATTGACAGGCATCACTGATGGGCACTGAAAGGCAGCACTGATATATGGCACTGAAAGGCAGCACTGATATATGGCACTGATAGGCGGCACTGACTGGCACTGATAGACACGGTTAGGTGGCACTGACTGGCACTGTTAGGTGGCACTGATGTGCACTGATAGGTGGCACTGATTGGCAGCACTGATGGGTGACACTGAAGGGCAGCTCAGATGGGCACGAATATGTGGCATTGATGGGCACTGGCAGGCACTGATATGTGGCACTGATGGGCACTGGCATGTGGCACTGTTCAGCACTGACAGCTGGCACTGATGGACACTGACAGGTGGCACTTCTGGGGCCACACTGATCATCAGTGCCCTGATGATCAGTGTACATGTCCCCTCCGCGGAATGCCGATTACCGGCTCTCCTCTCCTCTGTCAGCGTGACAACTCGAGAGGAGAGAAATGCCGATAACCGGCATTTCCGTGTTTACATGTGATCAGCTGTGATTGGACACAGCTGATCACATGATCGAGCCAACATCTTCGGCTCTTTCCGGTGATCTGCTGTGTCTGAGGGACACAGCGCACTGCCGATCGCCGCGCTGCGCTCTCCCTGAGCCGCGCATGCGCGGTGAGAATGAAAGAACATCAAAAGACGGCCTATCAGAACGAGAGAACCACCTTGCGCCCGTCATTGGACTATATGGCGGGCGGGAGGTGGTTAAAAAAAAAAAAAAATTAAAAATTACTGCGAATTTTGAAAAGACAAACAAAAAAAAAAAAACACCTTTTTCTCTGTTTCTGTTTTAAAATTTAGTAAATAAGTAATTTTCGTCTTCACTGATGTGCGCTGATGAGGCTGCACTGGTGGGCACTAATGAAGCAGCTGCACCGATGGGCACTAATGAAGCAGCTGCACCGATGGGTACTAATGAGGCAGCTGCACCGATGGGCACTAATGAGGCAGCTGCACCGATGGGCACTAATGAGGAATCTACACTGATGGGCACTATTGAGGCTGCACTGCTGGGCACTAATGAAGCAGCTACACTGATGGGCACTGAGGAAGCTACACTGATGGACACTGAGGAAGCTACACTGATGGGCACTAATGAGGAAGCTACACCGATGGGCACTAATGAGGCAGCTATACTGATGGGCACTGAGGAAGCTACACTGATGGGCACGGAGGAAGCTACACCGATGGGCACTAATGAGGCAGCTACACTGATGGGCACTGAGGAAGCTACACTGATGGGCACTGAGGAAGCTACACTGATGGGCACGGAGGAAGCTACACCGATGGGCACTAATGAGGAAGCTACACTGATGGGCACTGAGGAAGCTACACTGATGGGCACTAATGAGGAAGCTACACTGATGGGCACTAATGAGGCAGCTGCACCAATGGGCACTAATGAGGAAGCTACACTGATGGGCACTGAGGAAGCTACACTAATGGGCACTAATGAGGAAGCTACACTGATGGGCACTAATGAGGAAGCTACACTGATGGGCACTAATGAGGCAGCTGCACAGATGGGCACTAATGAGGAAGCTACACTGATGGGCACTATTGAGGCTGCACTGATGGGCACTAATGAGGCTGCACTGATGGGCACTAATGAAGCAGCTACACTGATGGGCACTGAGGAGGCTACACTGATGGGCACTGATGATGAGTGCCCCGATTATCAGTGTAAACAAAGTGCTGACAGGCTTGTTGGGTATCGGCGGTCTCTTCCTCACACAGACACATCATGCGAGGAAAATTGGTGATAACCGGCAAGTCTGTTTACATGTGATCGGCTGTGATTGGACACAACTGATCACAAGGTAAAGAGCCGCTGTGATTGGACCTTTACCATGATTTGTGAGGACATCCATCACAGAGTGTGTCCTATGCTCGCCCCAGTGGTCGTGGGGAGGACGTCTATAGATGCCCTCCCCGAACAAGAGTCCTCTTTCGCTATGGTGCGGTATTAAAGTGGTTCCTGTGGCCCTCAGATTCACGTTAACCTCTTGTTGACCGCAGACAGCTGAATGACTGCACTGCGGCTGTCCAGTTCTGGGAGGCCGTCATATGCCGTCCTCCCAGAACGCGCTCTCCTGCACACCCCCGGGGATGCGCACCCAGCGATCTACGTGATCGCCGTGTCCTACGGACACAACTGAACATGTGATATGGTAAATGGCCAATCACAGCGCCCTTTTACCATGTGATCAGCCGTGTCCAATGAAAATGCAATTACCGCTGTCACAGCGTTCGGAAAGTACTGTTGAGAACCGGCAGTTGTCAGAGCAAGAATCGGCACGATGATCAGTGCCCTTATGATCGGTGCCCAGCAGTGCCACCCACCAGTGCCGCCCAGAAGTGCCCATCAGTGCCACCTACCTGTGCCCATCAGTGCCACCCACCTGTGCCCATCAGTGCCACCCACCTGTGCCCATCAGTGCCACACACCCGTGCCTAGTAGTGCTGCCCATCAGTGCCATCCATCAGTGCCGCCAGTCAGTGCCATCAGTCAATGCCACCAGTCAGTGCCCAGAAGTGCCAGCTATCAGTGCTGCTCATCCATGCCACCTATCAGTGCCCATCAGTGCCCCCTCATCAACGCACATCAGTGAAGGCGAACAATTACCTGGTTTGCAAAATTTTAAAATAGAAACAAAGAAAACCTTTTTTTTTTTTTACTTTTTTTGCTCTTTTTTTGTTTATAGCTCAAAAAATAAAACCCCCCAGCGGGGAGCAAATACCACCAAAAGAACGCTCTGTGTGTGTGAAAAAAAGGATAAACATTTCATATGGGTACAGTGTTGCATGACCCGCGCAATTGTCATTCAAAGTGCAGCAACACTGAAAGCTGAACATTGGCCTGGACAGGAAGGAGGTGACAGTGCCCGGTAGGCGAGGGGCAGGAAGGGGGTGACAGTGCCCGGTAGGCGAGGGGCAGGAAGGAGGTGACAGTGCCCGGTAGGCGAGGGGCAGGAAGGAGGTGACAGTGCCCGGTAGGCGAGGGGCAGGAAGAGAGTGACAGTGCCCGGTAGGCGAGGGTCAGGAAGAGGGTGACAGTGCCCGGTAGGCGAGGGTCAAGAAGAGGGTGACAGTGCCCGGCAGGAAGGGGGTGACAGTGCCCGGTAGGCGAGGGGCAGGAAGAGGGTGACAGTGCCCGGTAGGCGAGGGGCAGGAAGAGGGTGACAGTGCCCGGTAGGCGAGGGGCAGGAAGGGGGTGACAGTGCCCGGTAGGCGAGGGGCAGGAAGGGGGGAACAGTGCCCGGTAGGCGAGGGGCAGGAAGGGGGTGACAGTGCCCGGCAGGCGAGGGGCAGGAAGAGGGTGACAGTGCCCGGCAGGCGAGGGGCAGGAAGAGGGTGACAGTGCCCAGCAGGCGAGGGGCAGGAAGGGGGTGACAGTGCCCGGCAGGCGAGGGGCAGGAAGAGAGTGACAGTGCCCGGCAGGAAGGGGGTGACAGTGCCCGGTAGGTGAGGGGCAGGAAGAGGGTGACAGTGCCCGGTAGGCGAGGGGCAGGAAGAGGGTGACAGTGCCCGGTAGGCGAGGGGCAGGAAGAGGGTGACAGTGCCCGGTAGGCGAGGGGCAGGAAGAGGGTGACAGTGCCCGGTAGGCGAGGGGCAGGAAGAGGGTGACAGTGCCCGGTAGGCGAGGGGCAGGAAGGGGGTGACAGTGCCCGGCAGGCGAGGGGCAGGAAGAGGGTGACAGTTGCCGGCAGGTGAGGGGCAGGAAGGGGGTGACAGTGCCCGGGTAGGCGAGGGGCAGGAAGGAGGTGACAGTGCCCGGTAGGCGAGGGGCAGGAAGGGGGTGACAGTGCCCGGTAGGCGAGGGGCAGGAAGGGGGTGACAGTGCCCGGTAGGCGAGGGGCAGGAAGGGGGTGACAGTGCCCGGTAGGCGAGGGGCAGGAAGGAGGTGACAGTGCCCGGTAGGCGAGGGGCAGGAAGGAGGTGACAGTGCCCGGTAGGCGAGGGGCAGGAAGGGGGGGACAGTGCCCGGTAGGCGAGGGGCAGGAAGGGGGGGACAGTGCCCGGTAGGCGAGGGGCAGGAAGGGGGTGACAGTGCCCGGTAGGCGAGGGGCAGGAAGGGGGGGACAGTGCCCGGTAGGCGAGGGGCAGGAAGGGGGTGACAGTGCCCGGTAGGCGAGGGGCAGGAAGGGGGTGACAGTGCCCGGTAGGCGAGGGGTTAAGGAGGACCCCCCTAAAATACAACATTCACCTGTAGAATCGGCTCTCCAGACGTTTGCGCACCGTGCTCAGGTCCGTAGGGTAGGCCACCACCGTACAGTAGAGGGGATATGCGCTGAGGTCCACCGGCACGCTGAACGGGTTGGCAAAATCTGACGGCAGAGAATTTCCAGTTATAAACCACATTGAGTATATTGAAGGTACGGGGTCAACAAAGACAAAGGCTGTACAACTAAAACCACCATTTACTGCTGTGCCATGACGTCATAAAACACAAAGATGGAGGCTTTTCACTAAAGGTGATTGGGCCCAGATTTTACCACCTTTATCACTTGACTTGTAACAGGACTACCAGAGTCCGAACAGAGCGGCTACAAGAATGGTAAAAACGTCAGGGAGCCAAGCTACCTCTGGGACTCAGGGATGGCCCTGCTAAATCAAAGGTCCCTGCAGGGCTTTGATATACAGTTGTGTTGAAAATACTAGCCGTCAGACATCACTAACCGGATCAATCACTGTTTTTGGTGGAAATGATATTTCTACATGGCAGATAATTTCCTAGCAGGTGTAGTAGAGTCATAGAAATCCAACAGACCCAACAGTCATGACATGCATGCTGCTGATTCTGTGTCATTGAATCACTCATTGAAAGGGGCGTGTTCACAATAATAGCCGTGTGGAGTTCTATTAGTGACGTCATTCATTCTTTGATAAACAGGTGGCAATTATTGCCCTTATTTAAGGAAGGAAGGCAGCAAATGTTGGACATGCTGGTTACAGTGCATTTCTCTCTGAAATTCTGAGGAAAATGGGGTGGTTCCAGACATTGTTCAGAAGAACAGCGTACCTTGATTAAAAAGTTGATTGGAGAGGGGAAAACATATAAAGAAGTGCAGAAAAATGATCGGATGCTCAGCTAAAATGATGGCAAATGCTTTAAAATGGCAACCAAAAGCTGAAAGACGCGGAAGAAAGCAAAAAACTACCACTGGAATGGATAGAAGAATAGCCAAAATGGGGCGGACTCAGCCAACAATCAGCTCCAGGAAGATGAAAGAAGGTGTGACGTTCCCTGTGAGGACTCAGCCAACAATCAGCTCCAGGAAGATGAAAGAAGGTGTGACGTTCCCTGTGAGGACTCAGCCAACAATCAGCTCCAGGAAGATGAAAGAAGGTGTGACGTTCCCTGTGAGGACTCAGCCAACAATCAGCTCCAGGAAGATGAAAGAAGGTGTGACGTTCCCTGTGAGGACTGTTACAATTAGAAGACACCTATGTGAAGCCAAGCTATCTGCAAGAAGTCCCCGCAAAGTCCCACTGTTGGGAAAAAGACGTGCTGAAGAGGTTACAATCTGCCAAAGAGCACATTGACCGCCTAAAGAGAAATGGCGCAACATTTTGTGGGCTGATGGAAGTAAGATTGTTCTTTTTGGGTCTAGTGGGCGGAGACAGTTTGTCAGACGACCCCCAAACACTGAATTCAAGCCACAGTACACTGTGAAGACCGTGAAGCATGGTGGTGCAAGCATCATGATATGGGGATGTTTCTCATACTACGGTGTTGGGCCTATTTATCACATACCAGGGATCATGGATCAGTTTGAATCCATCAGAATACTTGAAGAGGTCATGCTGCCTTATGCTGAAGAGGAAATGCCCTTGAAATGGGGGTTCCAACAAGACAAGGACCCCAAACACACCAGTAAACGTACAACATCTTGGTTCCAGACCAACAAGATGGACGTTATGGAGTGGCTCGCCCAATCCCCGGATCTTCATCCAATAGAAAACTTGTGGGGTGACACCAAAAATGCCGTTTCTGAGGCCAAACCAAGAAATAGAGAAGAAGTGTGGAATGTGGTCCAATCATCCTGGGCTGGAATACCTGATCACAGGGGCCAGAAGTTGGGGGACTCCATGCAACACAGATGTACAGCAGTTCTCAGAAACAGTGCGACTACAACCAAATATTCATGAAGTCATTCAAAGGAAAGCAAAATCTTCAAACATTTCTCAGTTTATATAGTGAATGTTGGAGTTTGGAAAGAAGAATACAAACACGGCCATTTTTTTGAACCGTCTAATATTCACTTTTCTTCCATTTTTTTTAGAGGAACAACACAAATTTGATGTATTTTTCTTCATGTTGTGATTTGGAATAGAATGTGTCGTGTTCCCAATGCATTTGTGTGGATGGAAATAAAAGGATTAGAAGGATTTGCAGCTTTACTCACTTTTATCATCACACTGATATTATTTTGAACACAACTGTATATAAAAAATCACTAATAAATAATACTAAGACAAACGCTAATAATTAGGACAAGAGTAGATTTTCCCTAAACTGTAACTTTTAAGATTTTGCTAGCCTAATTGGGGCCCTTCTTTGATGGTGCACAGGTGGTGAATCTTGGTTAGGTCCACCAATCCTTCTAGAGGTGTTTGTAAGGTGCAGAGATTTCCAAATTTTGGTTTTATTTTCCATGGGATAGCCAATGACTGTGTGCGGTCTGAACTCTGATCTGAAATCCGCTGTTGGGGGGCTGCTGACAGTATTCTGAGCAGCTATGTGTGAAATGTCCTGTGAGGGCACCAACATAGAGGTGAGAGTCCAAAGTTTTTTTAATGATGGCATTCAATCACAAGACCATATAAAACAGCCAACGTGTTTCTGGGGTACAAGATTCCCCCCAAACTAATGCTTATTTGCGAACAGGCCCTTCGTTGTTTGATCTTATAAATACTTAATGGTGGTGATTCTGAGTCCTCCTGATGACACACAAGGAAGAAGGACTCCGGGCTCATAGAGCACCCAACCTGATCCCAGAAACTTGCTCAGATCTCACGGAGCTCTCAGCCTCATCCCAAGAGGAGGACTCAGAAATCACATAGCTTGCAGCCTGATTCCAGAGAAGGACATGGACCTCGCAGAGCTCTCAGCCTGATCCCAAGAGGAGGACTCAGAAATCACATAGCTTGCAGCCTGATTCCAGAGAAGGACATGGACCTCGCAGAGCTCTCAGCCTGATCCCAAGAGGAGGACTCAGAAATCACATAGCTTGCAGCCTGATTCCAGAGAAGGACATGGACCTCGCAGAGCTCTCAGCCTGATCCCAAGAGGAGGACTCAGAAATCACATAGCTTGCAGCCTGATTCCAGAGAAGGACATGGACCTCGCAGAGCTCTCAGCCTAAACCAAAAGGACTTAGACCTCGCAGAGCTCTCAGCCTGATCCCAGAATAGGACTCAGGCCTTGCAGAGCTCTCAGCCTGATCCCAGAGAAGGACTCAGATCTCACAGAGCTCTCTGTCTGATCCCAAGAGGAGGACTCAGAAATCACATAGCTTTCAGTCTGATTCCAGAGAAGGACATGGACCTCACAGAGCTCTCAGCCTAAACCAAAAGGACTTAGACCTCGCAGACCTCTCAACCTTATCTTGGAGAAGGACTCAAACTTCACACAGCTTTCAGTCTGATCTCAGAGAAGGTCTCAAGGATTTAGACCTCACAGAGCTCTGCATCTTATCTCGGAGAAGGACTCAAACCTCACAGAGCTTTCAGTCTGATGTCAGAAAGGGGGCTCAGATCTCACAGAGCTGTCAGACTAATCCAAGAGAAGAACTCAGACCACATAGAGCTCTAAGCCTGATCCCAGAGAAGGGCTTCAACCTCAGAGCTCCCAGAGGACTTGGACCGCTCAGCCCGATCCCAGAGAAAGACTGAAACCCTGCAGAGCTCTCAGCTTTTTAGAATGATCTCCCTGTAAAGAAGAACTAACGTTTTTTCCTCAGAGACTTCAACTAATGAAAGACATAAAAACATAAGACAAAAATCAGAGTCGGGTTTGGACAACAGCTTTTTAGTAAATGAACTTTAAATCCAGAAACTATTAGGAGGAAAACTTACACTATATGACCACATATGTGGACCCCCCCACAATGACTGAGGTTAGGTGGCTCCAGTAAAGGGCCCTGGTAATACTCCATCATACAAAGACATAAATAGACAGTTGTGCTTTTCCATCCTTGTGGTAACAGTTTGGTGAAGACCCTTTTCTGTTCCCCCATGACTGTCCCCTGTGTACAAAGCCAATAAAGACATGGTTTGACCAGTGTGGACCAGCTCCATAAAGACATGGTTTGACAAATGTGGACCAGCTCCATAAAGACATGGCATGGTTTGACCAGTGTGGACCAGCTCCATAAAGACATGGTTTGACCAGTGTGGACCAGCTCCATAAAGACATGGTGTGACCAATGTGGACCAGCTTCATAAAGACATGGTTTGACCAATGTGGACCAGCTCCATAAAGACATGGCATGGTTTGACCAATGTGGACCAGCTTCATAAAGACATGGTTTAACCAATGTGGACCAGCTCCATAAAGACATGGTTTGACCAGTGTGGACCAGCTCCATAAAGACATGGTTTGACCAGTGTGGACCAGCTCCATAAAGACATGGTGTGACCAATGTGGACCAGCTTCATAAAGACATGGTTTGACCAATGTGGACCAGCTCCATAAAGACATGGCATGGTTTGACCAATGTGGACCAGCTCCATAAAGACATGGTTTGACCAATGTGGACCAGCTCCATAAAGACATGGTTTGACCAGTGTGGACCAGCTCCATAAAGACATGGTTTGACCAATGTGGACCAGCTCCATAAAGACATGGTTTGACCAATGTGGACCAGCTCCATAAAGACATGGTTTGACCAGTGTGGACCAGCTCCATAAAGACATGGTGTGACCAATGTGGACCAGCTTCATAAAGACATGGTTTGACCAATGTGGACCAGCTCCATAAAGACATGGCATGGTTTGACCAATGTGGACCAGCTTCATAAAGACATGGTTTAACCAATGTGGACCAGCTCCATAAAGACATGGTTTGACCAGTGTGGACCAGCTCCATAAAGACATGGTTTGACAAATGTGGACCAGCTCCATAAAGACATGGTTTGACCAGTGTGGACCAGCTCCATAAAGACATGGTTTGACCAATGTGGACCAGTTCCTTAAAGACATGGTTTGACCAGTGTGGACCAGCTCCATAAAGACATGGTTTGACCAATGTGGACCAGTTCCTTAAAGACATGGTTTGACCAGTGTGGACCAGCTCCATAAAGACATGGTTTGACCAATGTGGACCAGTTCCTTAAAGACATGGTTTGACCAGTGTGGACCAGCTCCATAAAGACATGGTGTTTGACCAATGTGGACCAGTTCCTTAAAGACATGGTTTGACCAGTGTGGACCAGCTCCATAAAGACATGGTTTGACAAATGTGGACCAGCTGCATAAAGACATGGTTTGACCAATGTGGACCAGTTCCTTAAAGACATGGTTTGACCAGTGTGGACCAGCTCCATAAAGACATGGGTCAACCAGTGTGGACCAGCTCCATAAAGACATGGTTTGACCAGTGTGGACCAGCTCTATAAAGACATGGGTCAACCAGTGTGGACCAGCTCCATAAAGACATGGGTCAACCAGTGTGGACCAGCTCCATAAAGACATGGTTTGACCAGTGTGGACCAGCTCTATAAAGACATGGTTTGACCAGTGTGGACCAGCTCCATAAAGACATGGGTCAACCAGTGTTGACCAGCTCTATAAAGACATGGTTTGACCAGTGTGGACCAGCTCCATAAAGACATGGGTCAACCAGTGTGGATCAGCTCCATAAAGACATGGGTCAACCAGTGTGGACCAGCTCCATAAAGACATGGGTCAACCAGTGTTGACCAGCTCTATAAAGACATGGTTTGACCAGTGTGGACCAGCTCCATAAAGACATGGGTCAACCAGTGTGGATCAGCTCCATAAAGACATTGTTCAACCAGTGTGGATCAGCTCCATAAAGACATGGGTCATTCAATGTGGACCAGCTCCATAAAGACATGGATAGACCAGTTTAGTGTGGAGGAAATGCAGTGTTTGGCAGAGCCCTGAACTCAACCTTACTGATCACCTTCGGGATGAACTGGAATACCAGTTGGGAGCAAGGTCTTTTTTTATGGTGTCCAACATGTACGAGGTCTTCTCATCCAATATCAGTACCTGACCTCAGAAATGGCCACAAATTCCCACAGACACCCTCTAAAATCTCAATTTTGTTGGAAAAGAGCAGGGGGGCATCTCGATATTTATAGCCATGGTTTTGGAATGGGTTGTCCACCAAACTCATATAGGTGTGATGGTCAGGTGTCCACAGACGTTTGGCTCTATAGTGTATATAACCTGGAAGCCAGATGACTCCGCCCATACTGCACTGGAAGGATACAGGAAACCACAAGACTTCTTTCAGACAGTTTCGTAAATAAGATGTAAGAATAGCGCACCAAGGGTAAGCAGCTGGTCGATTCCTCGCATGGCTCGCTCGCACACCTCATCTCTACATTTCGACCCCCACTCTCCCTCTTCAGGTTTATACTGCAGTGCGTTCAGCTCCTCCGCTGTGACTGGGACCCCGGCTCCAACTTCATCCGGCAGAGGGACTGCACAGGAAGAAAAGGGATAAATGCTGTAATACAGACACTGGACACGGATCACAAGGATCCATAACAGAACGCTCAGCAGCCAATCAGAATTAATCTCCTAAAGTAATTGGCTGCGAAAGGTTCCTTGCATGACCTCAGTGAGTGATCAACAGATGAAAGGAAGTCTTACTGCCTTCAGGAATGGGCTCCATGTCCCAGGGGCTCATGTTCTCCCGCTCATTGTTATCCCAGCTGTAAGAAGGAAAGGAAGTATTAGAACATACATGGCGCAATCAGCGCCCAGACCTCCGATGGCCCTACACCGCCCACACCTCCCATGGCCCTACACCGCCCACACCTCCGATGGCCCCTACACCGCCCACACCTCCCATGGCCCCTACACCGCCCACACCTCCGATGGACCCTACACCGCCCAAACCTCCGATGGCCCTACACCGCCCACACCTCCCATGGCCCCTACACCGCCCACACACCTCCCATGGCCCCTACACCGCCCACACCTCCGATGGCCCTACACCGCCCAGACCTCCGATGGCCCCTACACCGCCCACACCTCCGATGGCCCCTACACCGCCCAGACCTCCGATGGCCCCTACACCGCCCACACCTCCGATGGGCCCTACACCGCCCAGACCTCCCATGGCCCCTACACCGCCCAGACCTCCGATGGCCCCTACACCGCCCACACCTCCGATGGCCCCTACACCGCCCAGACCTCCCATGGCCCCTACACCGCCCACACCTCCGATGGCCCCTACACCGCCCACACCTCCGATGGCCCCTACACCGCCCAGACCTCCCATGGCCCCTACACCGCCCACACCTCCCATGGCCCGTACACCACCCAGACCTCCGATGGCCCCTACACCACCCAGACCTCCGATGGCCCCTACACCACCCAGACCTCCGATGGCCCCTACACCGCCCAAACCTCCGATGGCCCCTACACCGCCCCACACCTCCCATGGCCCCTACACCGCCCCAGACCTCCGATGGACCCTACACCGCCCAAACCTCCCATGGCCCCTACACCGCCCAGACCTCCGATGGACCCTACACCGCCCAAACCTCCCATGGACCCTACACCGCCCAAACCTCCCATGGACCCTACACCGCCCAAACCTCCCATGGACCCTACACCGCCCAAACCTCCCATGGACCCTACACCGCCCAAACCTCCCATGGCCCGTACACCACCCAGACCTCCGATGGCCCCTACACCACCCAGACCTCCGATGGCCCCTACACCGCCCACACCTCCGATGGCCCCTACACCGCCCAGACCTCCGATGGCCCCTACACCGCCCAGACCTCCGATGGCCCCTACACCGCCCAGACCTCCGATGGCCCCTACACCACCCAGACCTCCGATGGCCCCTACACCACCCAGACCTCCGATGGCCCCTACACCACCCAGACCTCCGATGGCCCCTACATCGCCCACACCTCCGATGGCCCCTACACCGCCCAGACCTCCGATGGCCCCTACACCGCCCAGACCTCCGATGGCCCCTACACCGCCCAGACCTCCGATGGCCCCTACACCGCCCAGACCTCCCATGGCCCCTACAACACCCAGACCTCCGATGGACCCTACACCGCCCACACCTCCGATGGCCCCTACACCGCCCAAACCTCCCATGGCCCGTACACCACCCAGACCTCCGATGGCCCCTACACCACCCAGACCTCCGATGGCCCCTACACCACCCAGACCTCCGATGGCCCCTACACCGCCCAAACCTCCGATGGCCCCTACACCGCCCACACCTCCGATGGCCCCTACACCGCCCACACCTCCGATGGCCCCTACACCGCCCAGACCTCCGATGGCCCCTACACCGCCCAGACCTCCGATGGCCCGTACACCGCCCAGACCTCCGATGGCCCGTACACCGCCCAGACCTCCGATGGCCCGTACACCGCCCAGACCTCCGATGGCCCGTACACCGCCCAGACCTCCGATGGCCCGTACACCGCCCAGACCTCCGATGGCCCGTACACCGCCCAGACCTCCGATGGCCCGTACACCGCCCAGACCTCCGATGGCCCGTACACCGCCCAGACCTCCGATGGCCTCTACACCGCCCAGACCTCCGATGGCCCGTACACCGCCCAGACCTCCGATGGCCCGTACACCGCCCACACCTCCGATGGCCCCTACACCAACCAGACCTCTGATGGCCCCTACACCGCCCACACACCTCCGATGACCCGTACACCGCCCAGACCTCCGATGGCCCCTACACCGCCCAGACCTCCAACGGCCCCTACATGTTCCAGATCACACGTACAACGAATGTAAAGCATTGTGTGATGTCAGGCAGCATAGATCAATAATGGTTACAATAGTTGAATTGATGTATTTTCTGGAGGAGAATTGGAGTACAAAGTGGTCAGCGAGTGTATAGACCGGTGTCAGCGTACGGCTGGACCCCAGTGAGAGCGCAGGTGAAGGGACACGTAATGGGGGGCTATAAGGGGCCCGTCCTACAGCGAGAGCGCAGGGGAAGGGACACGTAATGGGGGGCTATAAGGGGCCAGTCCTACAGCGAGAGCGCAGGTGAAGGGACACGTAATGGGGGGCTATAAGGGGCCCGTCCTACAGCGAGAGCGCAGGTGAAGGGACACGTAATGGGGGGCTATAAGGGGCCAGTCCTACAGCGAGAGCGCAGGTGAAGGGACACGTAATGGGGGGCTATAAGGGGCCAGTCCTACAGCGAGAGCGCAGGGGAAGGGACACGTAATGGGGGGCTATAAGGGGCCAGTCCTACAGTGAGAGCGCAGGTGAAGGGACACGTAATGGGGGGCTATAAGGGGCCAGTCCTACAGTGAGAGCGCAGGTGAAGGGACACGTAATGGGGGGCTATAAGGGGCCAGTCCTACAGTGAGAGCGCAGGTGAAGGGACACGTAATGGGGGGCTATAAGGAGCCAGTCCTACAGTGAGAGCGCAGGTGAAGGGACACGTAATGGGGGGCTATAAGGGGCCAGTCCTACAGCGAGAGCGCAGGTGAAGGGACACGTAATGGGGGGCTATAAGGGGCCAGTCCTACAGCGAGAGCGCAGGTGAAGGGACACGTAATGGGGGGCTATAAGGGGCCAGTCCTACAGCGAGAGCGCAGGTGAAGGGACACGTAATGGGGGGCTATAAGGGGCCAGTCCTACAGCGAGAGCGCAGGTGAAGGGACACGTAATGGGGGGCTATAAGGGGCCAGTCCTACAGCGAGAGCGCAGGTGAAGGGACACGTAATGGGGGGCTATAAGGGGCCAGTCCTACAGCGAGAGCGCAGGTGAAGGGACACGTAATCGGGGGCTATAAGGGGCCAGTCCTACAGCGAGAGCGCAGGTGAAGGGACACGTAATGGGGGGCTATAAGGGGCCAGTCCTACAGCGAGAGCGCAGGTGAAGGGACACGTAATGGGGGGCTATAAGGGGCCAGTCCTACAGCGACAGCGCAGGTGAAGGGACACGTAATGGGGGGCTATAAGGGGCCAGTCCTACAGCGAGAGCGCAGGTGAAGGGACACGTAATGGTAATGGGGGGCTATAAGGGGGCCAGTCCTACAGCGAGAGCGCAGGTGAAGGGACACGTAATGGTAATGGGGGGCTATAAGGGGCCAGTCCTACAGCGAGAGCGCAGGTGAAGGGACACGTAATAGGGGGCTATAAGGGGCCAGTCCTACAGTGAGAGCGCAGGTGAAGGGACACGTAATGGGGGGCTATAAGAGGCCAGTCCTACAGCGAGAGCGCAGGTGAAGGGACACGTAATGGTAATGGGGGGCTATAAGGGGCCAGTCCTACAGTGAGAGCGCAGATGAAGGGACACGTAATGGGGGGCTATAAGGGGCCAGTCCTACAGCGAGAGCGCAGGTGAAGGGACACGTAATGGTAATGGGGGGCTATAAGGGGCCAGTCCTACAGCGAGAGCGCAAGTGAAGGGACACGTAATGGTAATGGGGGGCTATAAGGGGCCAGTCCTACAGCGAGAGCGCAGGTGAAGGGACACGTAATGGTAATGGGGGGCTATAAGGGGCCAGTCCTACAGCGAGAGCGCAGGTGAAGGGACACGTAATGGGGGGCTATAAGGGGCCAGTCCTACAGCGAGAGCGCAGGTGAAGGGACACGTAATGGGGGGCTATAAGGAGCCAGTCCTACAGCGAGAGCGCAGGTGAAGGGACACGTAATGGGGGGCTATAAAGGGCCAGTCCTACAGCGAGAGCGCAGGTGAAGGGACACGTAATGGGGGGCTATAAGGGGCCAGTCCTACAGCGAGAGCGCAGGTGAAGGGACACGTAATGGGGGGCTATAAGGGGCCCGTCCTACAGCGAGAGCGCAGGTGAAGGGACACGTAATGGGGGGCTATAAGGGGCCAGTCCTACAGCGAGAGCGCAGGTGAAGGGACACGTAATGGGGGGCTATAAGGGGCCAGTCCTACAGCGAGAGCGCAGGGGAAGGGACACGTAATGGGGGGCTATAAGGGGCCAGTCCTACAGCGAGAGCCGAGGCGGAGTGACAACAGGTATATATTGAACAGTCGGATGTCTTACTGGACGCTGTAGCACTGGAAGAGGCTGTCTGGATAGTCCATCTGAAATGGCTGCTGACTCTCCACCATCCCGAACCACCAGGCGTCATCAATGATGCTGCGGAAACGGTCCCCTGAGGAGAGACAAAAACAATCGGTGGAAAAACTTCGCTTGTCAGAGGGTGACGGGTGGAAGACTGTATGTCTAAATCTCAATTGCAGGACTGGCCCTGGACCAAGTTGTACGTCTAGATCCCAACCCCAAGGAGGGCAGGCCCTGGACCAGGTTGTACATCTAGATCCCAACCCCAAGGAGGGCAGGCCCTGGACCAAGTTGTACATCTAGATCCCAACCCCAAGGAGGGCAGGCCCTGGACCAGGTTGTACATCTAGATCCCAACCCCTAGGAGGACAGGCCCTGGACCAAGTTGTACATCTAGATCCCAACCCCAAGGAGGGCAGGCCCTGGACCAAGTTGTACATCTAGATCCCAACCCCTAGGAGGGCAGGCCCTGGACCAAGTTGTACATCTAGATCCCAACCCCAAGGAGGGCAGGCCCTGGACCAAGTTGTACGTCTAGATCCAAACCCCTAGGAGGGCAGGCCTTGGACCAAGTTGTACATCTAGATCCCAACCCCTAGGAGGGCAGGCCCTGGACCAAGTTGTACATCTAGATCCCAACCCCTAGGAGGGCAGGCCCTGGACCAAGTTGTACATCTAGATCCCAACCCCTAGGAGGGCAGGAACCGGGAGCAAGTTGTACATCTAGATCCCAACCCCTAGGAGGGCAGGCCCTGGACCAAGTTGTACATCTAGATCCCAACCCCTAGGAGGGCAGGCCCTGGACCAAGTTGTACATCTAGATCCCAACCCCTAGGAGGGCAGGAACCGGGAGCAAGTTGTACATCTAAATCCCAACCCCAAGGAGGGCAGGCCCTGGACCAGGCTGTACATCTAGATCCCAACCCCTAGGAGGGCAGGCCCTGGACCAGATTGTACATCTAGATCCCAACCCCTAGGAGGGCAGGCCCTGGACCAGGTTGTACGTCTAGATCCCAACCCCAAGGAGGGCAGGCCCTGGACCAGGTTGTACATCTAGATCCCAACCCCTAGGAGGGCAGGCCCTGGACCAAGTTGTACATCTAAATCCCAACCCCAAGGAGGGCAGGCCCTGGACCAAGTTGTACGTCTAGATCCCAACCCCAAGGAGGGCAGGCCCTGGACCAGGTTGTACATCTAGATCCCAACCCCTAGGAGGGCAGGCCCTGGACCAAGTTGTACATCTAAATCCCAACCCCAAGGAGGGCAGGCCCTGGACCAAGTTGTACGTCAAGATCCCAACCCCTAGGAGGGCCGGTCCTGGACCAAGTTGTTTGTCCAAGCTGCAATGTATCCTGCATGGAGACCCAAGAACGGACTGTGCTGTGCAGATCACAAGACTGGCTGAACACAATCACATCCTTTGGCACACAAGACGGTTGACGTGTTTTTTCAGTTGTGTATCTGCCAGTCTGGAGTTCAAATGTAAATCCCTCCGGATGGGGCAACCAAAGCCACCTACCGATCTGCCAGTTGCGCTCCTGCGCCTCCTTGTAGAAATGAGAGAGGATGAGGAAATCGATGACATCGGGCATGTCGTGGTACCTGGGGGAGGAAACAGATCTACAGTCACATCAATCACAAAGAACTCCGACACGGCTCAGAACACAACACTGCTGCAAAATGGTGACGGACGGAGGACACGGACGGAGGACACGGACGGAGGACACGGGTCAGAACACAACACTGCTGCAAAATACGAGGTGGTGACGGATGGAGGACACGGACGGAGGACACGGACGGAGGACACGGGTCAGAACACAGCACTGCTGCAAAATGGTGACGGACGGAGGACACGGACCGAGGACACGGACGGAGGACACGGACGGAGGACACGGACGGAGGACACGGGTCAGAACACAGCACTGCTGCAAAATGGTGACGGATGGAGGACACGGGTCAGAACACAACACTGCTGCAAAATGGTGATGGACGGAGGACACGGACGGAGGACACGGCTCAGAACACAACACTGCTGCAAAATACGAGGTGGTGACGGATGGAGGACACGGACGGAGGACACGGACGGAGGACACGGACGGAGGACACGGGTCAGAACACAGCACTGCTGCAAAATGGTGACGGATGGAGGACACGGGTCAGAACACAACACTGCTGCAAAATGGTGATGGACGGAGGACACGGACGGAGGACACGGCTCAGAACACAACACTGCTGCAAAATACGAGGTGGTGACGGATGGAGGACACGGACGGAGGACACGGACGGAGGACACGGACGGAGGACACGGGTCAGAACACAGCACTGCTGCAAAATGGTGACGGATGGAGGACACGGGTCAGAACACAACACTGCTGCAAAATGGTGATGGACGGAGGACACGGACGGAGGACACGGCTCAGAACACAACACTGCTGCAAAATACGAGGTGGTGACGGATGGAGGACACGGACGGAGGACACGGACGGAGGACACGGACGGAGGACACGGGTCAGAACACAGCACTGCTGCAAAATGGTGACGGATGGAGGACACGGGTCAGAACACAACACTGCTGCAAAATACGAGGTGGTGACGGATGGAGGACACGGACGGAGGACACGGGTCAGAACACAGCACTGCTGCAAAATGGTGATGGACGGAGGACACGGGTCAGAACACAGCACTGCTGCAAAATACGAGGTGGTGACGGATGGAGGACACGGACGGAGGACACGGGTCAGAACACAGCACTGCTGCAAAATGGTGATGGATGGAGGACACGGGTCAGAACACAGCACTGCTGCAAAATGGTGATGGACGGAGGACACGGACAGAGGACACGGACAGAGGACACGGACGGAGGACACGGGTCAGAACACAGCACTGCTGCAAAATGGTGACGGACGGAGGACACGGACAGAGGACATGGACGGAGGACACTGATGGAGCACCCCCCATGCAGCTCTGACATCTCTGACATCTACAGAATGATGGAGAGACCAACAATGCAGGAGAATCCTTCCCAATATCCCCATCAGGGGACTTCCAGGGAACGTTGGGGAGGAGGCCATGTCCCCCCCCCCCATCACCTGACCCAGAAAACATCATCTGCACTGTACAGGGCGATCACCCCATCCATGACCCCTCCCGGCACACGCGGTGCACTCACTTCACTGAGAAGGACTCTCCACTCATTCTGCCGGATGTCGGGTCCAGGAAGGCGAGCTTCAAGCAGCAAAGAGTGGGCGGTCCCACCTCGTACTTTATCCCCACAACCTTCAAGAATTCCTGTTCCTGGAAGTCACAAGAGAGAGAGGCGTGTTTACTGACTCCTGATCACCGACACAGCACTCCGCACACCCCCCCACACAGCGCTCCGCACACCCGACACAGCGCTCCGCACACCCGACACAGCGCTCCGCACACCCGACACACAGCGCTCCGCACACACCCGACACAGCGCTCCGCACACCCGACACAGCGCTCCGCACACCCGACACAGCGCTCCACACACCCGACACAGCGCTCCGCACACCCGACACAGCCCTCCGCACACCCGACACAGCGCTCCGCACACCCGACACAGCCCTCCGCACACCCGACACAGCCCTCCGCACACCCGACACAGCGCTCCGCACACCCGACACAGCCCTCCGCACACCCACAGAGAGCACCCGACACAGCCCTCCGCACACCCGACACAGCGCTCCGCACACCCGACACAGCGCTCCGCACACCCACAGAGAGCACCCGACACAGCGCTCCGCACACCCGACACAGCGCTCCGCACACCCGACACAGCGCTCCGCACACCCACAGAGAGCACCCGACACAGCCCTCCGCACACCCGACACAGCACTCCGCACACCCACAGAGAGCACCCGACACAGCCCTCCGCACACCCGACACAGCCCTCCGCACACCCGACACAGCACTCCGCACACCCCACACAGCGCTCCGCACACCCCACACACAGCCCTCCGCACACCCGACACAGCCCTCCGCACACCCGACACAGCGCTCCGCACACCCGACACAGCGCTCCGCACACCCACAGAGAGCACCCGACACAGCCCTCCGCACACCCGACACAGCACTCCGCACACCCCACACAGCGCTCCGCACACCCCACACAGCGCTCCGCACACCCGACACAGCGCTCCGCACACCCGACACAGCACTCCGCACACCCGACACAGCGCTCCGCACACCCGACACAGCGCTCCGCACACCCGACACAGCGCTCCGCACACCCGACACAGCACTCCGCACACCCGACACAGCGCTCCGCACACCCACAGAGAGCACCCGACTCCGCACACAGCGCTCCGCACACCCGACACAGCGCTCCGCACACCCGACACAGCGCTCCGCACACCCGACACAGCCCTCCGCACACCCGACACAGCGCTCCGCACACCCGACACAGCGCTCCGCACACCCGACACAGCGCTCCGCACACCCGACACAGCGCTCCGCACACCCGACACAGCGCTCCGCACACCCGACACAGACACAGCCCTCCCGCACACCCGACACAGCGCTCCGCACACCCACAGAGAGCACCCGACACAGCGCTCCGCACACCCGACACAGCGCTCCGCACACCCGACACAGCGCTCCGCACACACCCGACACAGCCCTCCGCACACCCGACACAGCCCTCCGCACACCCGACACAGCACTCCGCACACCCACAGAGAGCACCCGACACAGCCCTCCGCACACCCGACACAGCACTCCGCACACCCGACACAGCGCTCCACACAGCCCTCCGCACACCCGACACAGCACTCCGCACACCCGACACAGCGCTCCGCACACCCACAGAGAGCACCCGACACAGCGCTCCGCACACCCGACACAGCGCTCCGCACACCCGACACAGCGCTCCGCACACCCGACACAGCCCTCCGCACACCCGACACAGCGCTCCGCACACCCGACACAGCGCTCCGCACACCCGACACAGCGCTCCGCACACCCGACACAGCGCTCCGCACACCCGACACAGCCCTCCGCACACCCCGACACAGCGCTCCGCACACCCACAGAGAGCACCCGACACAGCGCTCCGCACACCCGACACAGCGCTCCGCACACCCGACACAGCCCTCCGCACACCCGACACAGCCCTCCGCACACACCCGACACAGCGCTCCGCACACCCGACACAGCGCTCCGCACACACCCGACACAGCCCTCCGCACACCCGACACAGCGCTCCGCACACCCACAGAGAGCACCCGACACAGCGCTCCGCACACCCGACACAGCGCTCCGCACACACCCGACACAGCGCTCCGCACACCCGACACAGCGCTCCGCACACCCGACACAGCGCTCCGCACACCCGACACACAGCCCTCCGCACACCCGACACAGCGCTCCGCACACCCGACACAGCACTCCGCACACCCACAGAGAGCACCCGACACAGCCCTCCGCACACCCGACACAGCGCTCCGCACACCCGACACAGCGCTCCGCACACCCACAGAGAGCACCCGACACAGCCCTCCGCACACCAGACACAGCCCTCCGCACACCCGACACACAGCACTCCGCACACCCGACACAGCCCTCCGCGCACACCCGACACAGCCCTCCGCACACCCGACACAGCGCTCCGCACACCCGACACAGCGCTCCGCACACACCCGACACAGCGCTCCGCACACCCGACACAGCGCTCCGCACACCCGACACAGCCCTCCGCACACCCGACACAGCGCTCCGCACACCCGACACAGCGCTCCGCACACCCGACACAGCGCTCCGCACACCCGACACAGCCCTCCGCACACCCGACACAGCGCTCCGCACACCCGACACAGCGCTCCGCACACCCACAGAGAGCACCCGACACAGCCCTCCGCACACCCGACACAGCAGCACTCCGCACACCCACAGAGAGCACCCGACACAGCCCTCCGCACACCCGACACAGCACTCCGCACACCCGACACAGCGCTCCACACAGCCCTCCGCACACACCCGACACAGCACTCCGCACACCCGACACAGCACTCCGCACACCCACAGAGAGCACCCGACACAGCCCTCCGCACACCCGACACAGCACTCCGCACACCCGACACAGCCCTCCGCACACCCGACACAGCCCTCCGCACACCCGACACACAGCGCTCCGCACACCCGACACAGCGCTCCGCACAGCCCTCCGCACACCCGACACAGCGCTCCGCACACCCGACACAGCGCTCCGCACACCCGACACAGCACTCCGCACACCCACAGAGAGCACCCGACACAGCCCTCCGCACACCCGACCAGCACACAGCACTACCGCACACCCGACACAGCACTCCGCACACCCACAGAGAGCACCCGACACAGCCCTCCGCACACCCGACACAGCACTCCGCACACCCACAGAGAGCACCCGACACAGCCCTCCGCACACCCGACACAGCACTCCGCACACCCGACACAGCGCTCCACACAGCCCTCCGCACACCCGACACAGCACTCCGCACACCTGACACAGCACTCCGCACACCGAGAGAGCACCTGACACAGCACTCCGCACACCCGACACAGCACTCTGCACACCGAGAGAGCACCTGACACAGCACTCCGCACACCCAACACAGCACTCCCACACCCACCATGGGCACTCACCGGAGCACTTTCCTCACACTGTCACGGAAGTGATTGGCTCCAATCATCAGTGCCCAGCAGTACCGCCTACCTGTGCGTCACTAATGCTATAGCGAGGCATGCTGGGACTTGTAGTTAAGCGGTTGCACAGCGATCCTAGTAGGCCCGGTGGGGTCAGTTGGCAGCAGAGGCGACATACATGGCAGACTTACCCTGAGCTCGGTCTTATTCCACGGCTGCTTCTGTAGGTTAACACTGTAGATTTTGGCTTTCCTCACGGCTCGGACGTACGCCTCGTGGCCTTGTCTGAAGTAGATCACCTGACGGGACACAACAATCACAAGGTCACCTCCACAGGCCAGGATCTCCGGAGGATTGGCAGATCTATACAGGGAAGATAACAATTGTGTGCAAGTCTTCCCGTGTATGGAGTGCAACTATAGATGGGCAGATCCTTGTAGGGAAAGAATCAGGAGGCCAAACCACCCGAAAGGGATATTCAGTTATCAGTCACTCAAAAACGTTGGGAGATCTAGTGGTGAGACTTCTTATAGTCCCCGATTGTTTTCTGGTCCATCCTGAACCTCCATCATGTACCCCACCCCATCATGTACCCCCCTCCATCATGCACCCCACCCCATCATGTACCCCCCTCCATCATGCACCCCACCCCATCATGTACCCCCCCTCCATCATGTACCCCCCTCCATCATGCACCCCACCCCATCCTGAACCACCATCATGCACCCCACCCCATCCTGAACCTCCATCATGCACCCCATCCTGAACCTCCATCATGCACCCCACCCTGAACCTCCATCATGTACCCCACCCCATCCTGAACCTCCATCATGTACCCCACCCCATCCTGAACCTCCTCCGGCACACTCCACTTCCCACCCTACCCAGAACCTTCATTGGCTGGCATCCAACCTGGGAACTCCAGTGGGCTTCCCACCCAACCCTGTGTTTTCCCTGTTCCAACCAGGATCTCCTCCAGTGTGCTCAATGTACCACCATGAACCTCTAGCATGCCCCCACCACACTCCAGACATCTTCAGGCCCTCTCCCTCCCTCAGCTGGGACCTACTCTGGGCCACTTCCTAACCCCACCATCCAGAATCTCTGCTTGCTAATATCCTACCTGGGACCTTCAGCGTGCTTCCCACCCAACCCTAGACCTTGATATGCTCTCCATTCCCCCAAAATCAATGTGACAACCTGAACCTCCTGCATGCATCCCCCCACACCCCAGACCTCATCTGGTATGACCCTGCCCCACTCCACCCCACACCTCATCTGGTATGACCCTGCCCCACTCCACCCCAGACCTCATCTGGTATGACCCTGCCGCACTCCACCCCACACCTCATCTGGTATGACCCTGCCCCACTCCACCCCACACCTCATCTGGTATGACCCTGCCCCACTCCACCCCAGACCTCATCTGGTATGACCCTGCCGCACTCCACCCCCCACACCTCATCTGGTATGACCCTGCCCCACTCCACCCCAGACCTCATCTGGTATGACCCTGCCCCACTCCACCCCACACCTCATCTGGTATGACCCTGCCCCACTCCACCCCAGACCTCATCTGGTATGACCCCTGCCCCCACTCCACCCCACACCTTATCTGGTATGACCCTGCCCCACTCCATCCCACACCTCATCTGGTATGCTCCGTGCCCCACTCCACCCCACACCTCCTCATCTGGTATGCTCCCTGCCCCACTCCACCCCACACCTCCTCATCTGGTATGCTCCCTGCCCCACTCCACCCCACACCTCATCTGGTATGCTCCCTGCCCCACTCCACCCCAGACCTCACCTGGTATGCTCCCTGCCCCACTCCACACCTCACCTGGTATGCTCCCTGCCCCACCACCCCACACCTCACCTGGTATGCTCCCTGCCCCACTCCACACCTCACCTGGTATGCTCCCTGCCCCACCACCCCACACCTCACCTGGTATGCTACCTGCCCCACTCCACCCCAGACCTCATCTGGTATGACCCTGCCCCACTCCACCCCAGACCTCATCTGGAATGACCCTGCCCCACTCCATCCCACACCTCATCTGGTATGCTCCCTGCCCCACTCCACCCCAGACCTCATCTGGTATGCTCCCTGCCCCACTCCATCCCACACCTCATCAACTGGTATGCTTCCTGCCCCACTCCACCCCACCTGGTATGCTCCCTGCCCCACTCCACCCCACACTCATCTGGTATGCTCCCTGCCCCACTTCACCCCACACCTCATCTGGTATGCTCCCTGCCCCACTCCACCCCACACCTCATCATCTGGTATGCTTCCTGCCCCACTCCACCCCACACCTCACCTGGTATGCTCCCTGCCCCACTCCACCCCACACCTCATCTGGTATGCTCCCTGCCCCACTTCACCCACGCCTCCTCATCTGGTATGCTCTCTGGCCCACTCCACCCCAGACCTCATCTGGTATGCTCCCTGCCCCATTCCACCCCAGACCTCATCTGGCATGCTCCCTGCCCCACCTGGGACCTCTTCAAGCCCATTTCTAACCTCTCCTGGGACCTCCTCCAGGCACACTCCCCACCTGAAACGTCTGCTGGCAGACATCTTACCTGAGATCTTCATCATGCTTCCTGCTCCATGTTAGACTTTGATGCGCTCCCTGTTCCACCCAGGACCTCCTCCAGTGTGCTCACTGTGCAATCATGAGCTTCCAGAATGCTCCCCACCCCTCTCCAGACCTCCTCTGGCATGCTCCCTGCCCCACAAGGACCTCCTCCAGCACATTTCTAGCTTCACCCGGGATCTCCTCCTGGCACACTCCCCACCCAAAACATCTGCTGGCTGACATCTTACCTGGGATCTCCAGCGTGCTTCCCACCCAACCTTAGACCTCGATGTGCTCCCTGTTCCACCCAGGACCTCCTCCAGTGTGCTCACTGTGCAATCAATCATGAGCTTCCAGAATGCTCCTCACCCCACCCCCAGACCTCCTCTGGCATGCTCCCTGCCCCACAAGGACCTCCTCCAGCACATTTCTAGCTTCACCCGGGATCTCCTCCTGGCACACTCCCCACCCAAAACATCTGCTGGCAGACATCCTACCTGGGATCTCCAGCACGCTCCCCAACCCACAACAGACCTCCTTCAGCACACCCCCTCCCTCAATTGAGACCTACTCCAGACCACTTCCTACCCAATCATCCACAACCTCCGTTTGCAGTTATCCTGCGTGGGACCTCCAGTATACTTCTCACCCAACCCTAGACTTTGATATGTTACCCATTGCCCCCAAAACCTCATCCAGTGTGCTTGCTGTGACATCCTGAACCTCCAGCATGCTCCCCACCACATCCCAGACCTCCTCTGGCATGCTCTCCACCCCACACCTTATCTGGTATGCTCCCTGCCCCACCTGGGACCTCTTCAAGCACATTTCAAGCCTCACCTGGGATCTCCTCTTGGCGCACTCCCCACCCAAAACATCTGCTGGCTGACATCCTACCTGGGATGTCCAGCGTGCTTCCCACACAACCTTAGACCTCGATATGCTCCCTGTTCCACCCAGGACCTCCTCCAGAGTGCTCACTGTGCCACCATGAACCTCCAGCATAGCACGCTCCCCAACCCACAACAGACCTCCTTCAGCACACCCCCTCTTTCAATTGAGACCTACTCCAGACCACTTCCTACCCAATCATCCACAACCTCCCTTTGCTGTTATCCTGTGTGGGACCTCCAGTGTGCTTTCCACCCAACCCTAGAACTTCATATGTTCCCCATGTTCATTGGGACCTCCTCAAACACATTTCCAGCCCCACCCGGGGTCTCCTCTTGGTGTACACCCCACCCGAAATGTCTGCTGACCAACATCCTAATTGGGATCTTCAGCATGCTTCCAACCCAACCCTGGACCTTAATGTGTTCTTCGTTCCATCCAGGACCTTCTCTGGTGTGCTGTCCAACCCAGAGCCTCCAGCATGCTTCCTGCCCCACCCTGGACCTTAATGTGTTCTTCGTTCCATCCAGGACCTTCTCTGGTGTGCTGTCCAACCCAGAGCCTCCAGCATGCTTCCAACCCAACCCTGGACCTTAATGTGTTCTTCGTTCCATCCAGGACCTTCTCTGGTGTGCTGTCCAACCCAGAGCCTCCAGCATGCCTCCTGCCCCACCCTGGATCTTCACCATTGTTGCATCCCTTGTACTACATTCTCCATTGTATATGAGTAAAGTACATATCCATCAAAGACGTACAGGGGCCACAGAACAAACAACGAGCATCGACCAAACACTGCGGCCTGTTGTGGATGCCGTTACTTTCCAGCAGGCTTGCGGTGAAATGAGAGGATTGTCAAAGTACAATCACTGAGAATGTAATGACGAACTATTGTGGACTCCCCTCCCCCTCCCATTGTGAATCCTGAATCCAGTGTGGCTCCTCCTACAAGAAATCATAGAAGGAATGTTCCCCGTACCTCATCTCCCATCTGTGGGACGAAGGGAGATCGTCGGGGGATGGTGTCCAGGATCCACTGCGGTGGGATCCACTCTTCGCTCGGCTCTCCCTCCATCGACAGAAAGTCGTTCTGTTTTATATATATTAAAAAAAAAAAACAATTAAAAGGCTAAACATCAACCAGTGATGGATGTCGGCCATCGTGCTGGAAGTTCATCACCCGACACACAGCCAGAGAAGAGCCCCCAGTGACACCCTCAATGGATTCTCATCTGTCAAGTCGATCGCACCAAACGAGATCCAAATCCTAACACACAGAAGAATCCCATCTGATAAAAACCCACACTGGGGTCTCCTCACCATGAGGGCCCCCAGTAACTGCAGCCCCCCCCCCCCCACCATCCTCTCCAACGCTTCCCTCCGAATCAGAAGACAGATCAGACAAAGGACTAAATATCAGGATTTTTGTATTTACCGAATCATTCATTTCTTGGAGTCTGTTGAGGGACACAGTCAGGTTATACTGCCGCCTACAGGGGGATTGGACACTAGCAAACAGAAACAAAATCGTATAACCCCCTCCTCCACCCCGCCCACCTCAATACGAAGGACATGAAATATACAGAGGGTGGGACTCTGGAAGGAAGGAATACTGCCCCATCATTGGTGTCAGCGGGAGGAATAGTGTCCCATCATTGGTGTCAGTGGGGGGAATAGTGCCCCATCATTGGTGTCAGTGGGGGGAATAGTGTCCCATCATTGGTGTCAGTGGGAGGAATAGTGCCCCATCATTGGTGTCAGTGGGGGGAATAGTGTCCCATCATTGGTGTCAGTGGGAGGAATAGTGCCCCATCATTGGTGTCAGTGGGGGGAATAGTGCCCCATCATTGGTGTCAGTGGGGGGAATAGTGTCCCATCATTGGTGTCAGTGGGAGGAATAGTGCCCCATCATTGGTGTCAGTGGGGGAATAGTGTCCCATCGTTGGTGTCAGTGGGAGGAATAGTGCCCCATCGTTGGTGTCAGTGGGAGGAATAGTGTCCCATCGTTGGTGTCAGTGGGAGGAATAGTGTCCCATCATTGGTGTCAGTGGGAGGAATAATGTCCCATCATTGGTGTCAGTGGGAGGAATAGTGCCCCATCATTGGTGTCAGCGGGAGGAATAGTGCCCCATCATTGGTGTCAGTGGGGGAGGAATAGTGCTCCATCATTGGTGTCAGTGGGAGGAATAGTGCCCCGTCATTGGTGTCAGTGGGAGGAATAGTGCCCCTCATTGGTATCAGTGGGAGGAATAGTGCCCCCTCATTGGTGTCAGTGGGAGGAATAGTGCCCCCTCATTGGTGTCAGTGGTAGGAATAGTGCCCCGTCATTGGTGTCAGTGGGAGGAATAGTGCCCCCTCATTGGTGTCAGTGGGAGGAATAGTGTCCCATCATTGGTGTCAGTGAGAGGAATAGTGCCCCGTCATTGGTATCAGTGGGAGGAATAGTGCCCCATCATTGGTGTCAGTGGGAGGAATAGTGCTCCATCATTGGTGTCAGTGGGGGGAATAGTGCCCCATCATTGGTGTCAGTGGGAGGAACAGTGCTCCATCATTGGTGTCAGTGGGGGGAATAGTGCCCCATCATTGGTGTCAGTGGGAGGAATAGTGCCCCATCATTGGTGTCAGTGGGAGGAATAGTGCCCCATCATTGGTGTCAGTGGGAGGAATAGTGCCCCATCATTGGTGTCAGTGGGAGGAATAGTGCCCCATCATTGGTGTCAGTGGGAGGAATAGTGCCCCATCATTGGTGTCAGTGGGAGGAATAGTGCCCCATCATTGGTGTCAGTGGGAGGAATAGTGCCCCATCATTGGTGTCAGTGAGAGGAATAGTGCCCCATCATTGGTGTCAGTGGGAGGAATAGTGTCCCATCATTGGTGTCAGTGGGAGGAATAGTGCCCCATCATTGGTGTCAGTGGGAGGAATAGTGCTCCATCATTGGTGTCAGTGGGGGGAATAGTGCCCCATCATTGGTGTCAGTGGGAGGAATAGTGCCCCATCATTGGTGTCAGTGGGAGGAATAGTGCCCCATCATTGGTGTCAGTGGGAGGAATAGTGTCCCATCATTGGTGTCAGTGGGGGGAATAGTGCCCCATCATTGGTGTCAGTGGGAGGAATAGTGCCCCATCATTGGTGTCAGTGGGAGGAATAGTGTCCCATCATTGGTGTCAGTGGGAGGAATAGTGCCCCATCATTGGTGTCAGTGGGAGGAATAGTGCCCCATCATTGGTGTCAGGCATATTGGCCCAATGTAGGTGTCAGTAAGAGGAATAGTACCCCAAACGCCGGATAAAGGCAAGCAAAGGGCCACATCCGGCCCCCGGGCCGTAGTTTGGAGACCAGTGGTGTAGTGGAAAAGCAACTAGGTCCAGCTAAGGCCTCAGGTACTCATGGACCCAGGCAGCTGGTCGGACAGCCAGAGCACCCAGTGGGTGAAACCCGGCGGTAGAGAGAGCTCTGAAAGGCACCCGAAGGTGCAAATAGTGACGTCGCTCAGCCCAGACTCTTACTTACAAAGAGAGTCTCCAGAGACAAAGTCAAGCACAAGAGCAATGCCATGGATCCAGAAAAGTACATCTGCGGCCCCCTATTACCAGAGCCTGAAGGTCACATTGTGGGCCATCCCGACACATCCAATCCAGCAGGTTAGGCCTCCACAGCCAGGCTGAGGGAACATGGAGGTCGTAGGGAATCCTCACCGAAGTTATTGGAGGACGAAATCCATGAATGAGAACTGAAGACAAAAGACTGGCAAAGATTGGATCGATGTTTCTCAGCAGAGATGGAAAATTCCGGGGACAGGAGCGGTTCTTGGGCTGGCTGGCATGTCTCTAGTTTGCCAATATAACCCAACGGAACCAGAATTCCTGCACCCCTCAATGGACCAGAAGGAAACCATCAATTGGATCGGCACCTAGTAACCCAACTGAGGGAGGAGGCAGCTTGTGGTGTCATCACTTCTGGTTCCATGACTCCAGATGGGTGAGAAGACAATACTCTACACACTCTACCCACCGACTACGCACCCCACCCACCCACTCAGCACCCCACCCACCGACTACGCACCCCACCCACTCCGAAACCCCACCCACCTACTCCGCACTCCACCCACCGACTACACACCCTACGCACCCACTCCGCACCCCACCCACCTACTCCGTACACTACCCACCTACTCCGCACCCCACCCACCCCTACTCCGCACCCCCACCCACCGACTACACACCCTACGCACCCACTCCGCACCCCACCCACCTACTCCGTACACTACCCACCTACTCCGCACCCCACCCACCTACTCCGCACCCCACCCACCGACTACACACCCTACGCACCGACTACACACCCTACGCACCCACTCCGCACCCCAGCCACCTACTCCGTACACTACCCACCTACTCCGCACCCCCCCACCCACCGACTACACACCCTACGCACCCACTCCGCACCCCAGCCACCTACTCCGTACACTACCCACCCTACTCCGCACCCCCCACCCACCGACTACACACCCTACGCACCCACTCCGCACCCCACCCACCTACTCCGTACACTACCCACCTACTCCGCACCCCACCCACCGACTACACACCCTACGCACCCACTCCGCACCCCACCCACCTACTCCGTACACTACCCACCTACTCCGCACCCCACCCACCTACTCCGTACACTACCCACCTACTCCGCACCCCACCCACCGACTACGCACCCCACCCACCTACTCAGCACCCCACCCACCGACTACGCACCCCACCCACTCCGAAACCCCACCCACCGACTACACACCCTACGCACCCACTCCGCACCCCACCCCCACCGACTACACACCCTACGCACCCACTCCGCACCCCACCAACCTACTCCGCACCCCACCCACCGACTACACACCCTACGCACCCACTCCGCACCCCACCCACCTACTCCGCAGCCCACCCACCTACTCCGCACCCCACCCACCTACTCCGCACCCCAACCACATACTCCGCACCCCAACCACATACTCCGCACCCCAACCACATACTCCGCACCCCACCCACCTACTCCGCACCCCAACCACCTACTCCGTACCCCAACCACCTACTCCGCACCCCAACCACCTACTCCGTACCCCACCCACCTACTCCGTACCCCACCCACCTACTCCGCACCCCACCCACCTACTCCGCACCCCAACCACCTACTCCGCACCCCAACCACCTACTCCGCACCCCACCCCCACCTACTCCGTACCCCACCCACCTACTCCGCACCCCAACCACCTACTCCGCACCCCAACCACCTACTCCGCACCCCAACCACCTACTCCGCACCCCACCCACCTACTCCGCACCCCACCCACCTACTCCGTACCCCACCCACCTACTCCGCACCCCAATCACATACTCCGTACCCCACCCACCTACTCCGCACCCCACCCACCTACTCCGCACCCCAGCCAGCCACCTACTCCGTACCCCACCCACCTACTCCGCACCCCACCCACCTACTCCGCACCCCCACCCACCTACTCCGCACCCCACCCACCTACTCCGCACCCCACCCACCTACTCCGCACCCCACCCACCTACTCCGCACCCCAACCACCTACTCCGCACCCCACCCACCTACTCCGCACCCCACCCACCTACTCCGCACCCCACCCACCTACTCCACACCCCAACCACCTACTCCGTACCCCACCCACCTACTCCGCACCCCAATCACCTACTCCGTACCCTATGCACATACAATACATACATCTTACACGCACATATATTCTCCACATATATGAGGATATGAACCTTTCTCCGGGTTTGTTTGCGTTTCCTCTCCTTGTTGTCCTCCTTGGTGTTTCTCCTCCTCAGAACTACTACACACCTTCCTGGTGGTCTGACGCGTTTGCCTCTTTGGAGGCTGCAGGTTGATCCCAGCGTCTGCGGTCCAATCGGAGTATTCGCTGGAGGAGTCGCTGCAGAACAAAGTACAGAAAGGATAAACCGGAAGACAAAACAGCAAAAAAACACAACTCAAATCTAAAACTGTAAAATCATTTCCAGACCCAACACCACCCAAAATGTACGGATTTCACCTGTTCCTCCTCCAACCTCATCAACACGCCGATGATCTCTTTTAAGGGCTCACAATGGCCGTTGTTGGTGGCAGGAGGTTCTGATCGAATTCTCTGCTTCGATCAGTGCATGAAAGGGGAGGGGCCTGAATATGGCGCCGGCAAGGAGCAGGAGCTTCATGTGTCCACCAAGAGATGTAGGAGGAGGAAGGAGGCTACATACCCCATGCTTGGTGTGCTGGCGGAGGTCCTTTCACTACCGAGGGGTCCTAGGTGGTGGTCCTGCTCAGCCGGAGGTGCGGCGTCTGTCCCAATGTGCAGAGTAGAAACAGGGACCAGCGGAAGCTGAGGGGAGGAGGACCGGGGACGCCGCTGGGGGGCCTCACAGACCCCTAGGAAGCAGTCGGCTGGACGAGGAGCGAGCGAGGAGGGAGGAGGTAGAAAAGCAACAAGCCCGCTGGTGAGCACCCCGACCACCCCACCGAAGAGGCGCCACACTCAGGACTGTGGACATTAAAGGGGGTAACAGCAGAAGCTGGAGTGCGGTGAGAGCGCAAATGTAATAGGAATTGGACAGTATACAGTCAGGTCCATAAATATTGGGACATGGACACAACTCTAACATTTTTGGCTCTATACACCACAAAGGATTTGAAATGAAACGAACAAGATGTGCTTTAACTGCAGACTGTCAGCTTTAATTTGAGGGTATTTACATCCAAATCAGGTGAACGGTGTAGGAATGACAACAGTTTGCATATTTGCCTCCCACTTGCTAAGGGACCAAAAGTAATGGGACAGAATAATAATCATAAATCAAACTTTCACTTTTTAATACTTGGTTACAAATCCTTTGCAGTCAATGACAGCCTGAAGTGTGGAACGCATAGACATCCCCAGACGCTGGGTGTCATCCCTGGTGAGGCTCTGCCAGGCCTTTACTGCAACTGTCTTCAGTTCCTGCTTGTTCTTGGGGCATTTTCCCTTCAGTTTTGTCTTCAGCAAGTGAAATGCTCCATCGGATTCAGGTCAGGTGATTGGCCATTGCAGAACATTCCACTTCTTTGGTGTCTTTTGCAGTCTGCTTTGGGTCATTGTCCATCTGCACTGTGAAGCGTCCAATGAGTTGTGAAGCATTTGGCTGAATATGAGCCGATAATATTCCCGAAACACTTCACAATTCATCCGGCTGCTTCTGTCAGCCGTCACATCATCAATAAATACAAGAGAAGCAGTTCCATTGGCAGCCATACATGCCCACGCCATGACACTACCACCACCATGATCACTGATGAGGTGGTATGCTGAGGACCATGAGCAGTTCCTTCTCCATCCTCTTCTCTTCCCATCACTCTGGTACAAGTTGATGTCGGTCTCATCTGTCCATAGGATGTTGTTCCAGAACTGTGAAGGCTTTTTTACATGTCGTTTGGCAAACTCTAATCTGGCCTTCCTGTGTTTTGAGGCTCACCAATGGTTTCCATCTTGTGGTGAACCCTCTGTATTCACTCTGGTGAAGTCTTCTCTTGATTGGTGACTTTGACACACATACACCTACCTCCTGGAGGGTGTTCTTGATCTGGCCAACTGTTGTGAAGGGTGTTTTCTTCACCAGGGAAAGAATTCTTCGCTCATCCACCACAGTTGTTTTTCCGTGGTCTTCCGGGTCTTTTGGTGTTGCTGAGCTCACCGGTGCGTTCCTTCTTTTTAAGAATCTTCCAAACAGTTGTTTTGGCCACGCCTAATCCAATTGTCCCATTACTTTTGGTCCCTTAACAAGTGGGAGGCACATATGCAAACTGTTGTCATTCCTACACCGTTCACCTGATTTGGATGTAAATACCCTCAAATTAAAGCTGACAGTCTGCAGGTAAAGCACATCTTGTTTGTTTCATTTCAAATCCATTGTGGTGTATAGAGCCAAAAATGTTAGAATTGTGTCCATGTCCCAATATTTATGGACCTGACTGTATGTGTGTGGGCTAGAAAAGCAGGTGGTCAGTGAAAACGCTGCCCAGGAAGTGGTGGGAAAGTGAGACGGGGGTCACATAGGGGGCTTACCACAGCAAAACAGATGAACGAAGGAGTATGGAAGAGCAAAAGGATTGCTGGGAGGACAGGAGGGAATATTTTTGGTAAAAGTAGCGACAAAGGATAGAAGTGTCCGAGGCGGGCTACACACATTCAATCTCTCAGTGCTGGAAGTAATAGGGAAGCCCAGGTGTAAAGCGAGATATAACTGATAGACCATAACGAAGAGTGAATCAGCAAAAGCAGGAGTAAAGGCACCTAAAACAAGTACAATAAACAAGTGTATGCCTCCGCAGGAAAAAAGTCCTGGAAGTCCCACGCCGGAGAGACAGCGGGGTGTCAGTGGGAGACAAGCGAGAGGAAATAATATTTTTGGACTTTTTCATTCATACAGCAAAAAAAAAATAAAAATTCAGCGGTGAATAAATACCACAAAAATAAAGTTTTATCTGTCTCAAAAAAATGCTGAAAAATTCACCCGGGTGCAGTGTTGCATGACCGCGCAATCGTCATTCAAAGTGTGATAGCGCTGAAAGCTGAAAATTGGCCTGGGGGGGGGGGGGGGGGAGTGTCCGGACTGGAAAGGGGGGGAAAGTATCCGGAACTGGAAGGGGGGGGAAGTGTCCCCGGACTGAAAGGGGGGGAAAGTGTAACACGGACTGGAAGGGGGTGAAAGTGTCCCGGACTGGAAGGGGGGGTGAAAGTGTGGCCGGACTGGACTGGGGGGGGGGAAGTGTCCGTACTGGAAGGGGGGGGAAAGTGTCCGGACTGAAGGGGTGAAAGTGTCTGGACTGGATGGGGGGGGGGAAGTGTCCCGTACTGGAAGGGGGGGGAAGTGTCCGGTACTGGAAGGATGGGGTGAAAGTGTCTGGACTGGAAGGGGGGGAAAGTGTCCGGGACTGGAAGGGGGGAAGTGTACCGGACTGGAAAGAGGGGGGAAGTGTCCGATACAGGAAGGGGGGGAAGTGTCCGGACTGGAAGGGGGGGACCGTGTCGGGACTGGAAGCGGGGGGAATGTTGGGTCCGGACTGGAAGGGGGTGAAAAGTGTCCGGACTGGAAGGGGGGAATTTGTCCCTCCCGGGACTGGGAAGGGGGGGAAGTGTCCGGACTGGAAGGGGGGGAAAGTGTCCGGACTGGAAGGGGGGAAAGTGTCCGGACTGGAAGGGGGGAGAGAAAGTGTCCGGACTGGAAGGCGGGGAAAGTGTCCCGACTGGAAGGGGTTGACTGGAAGGGGGGTGAAAGTGTCCGGACTGGGAAGGGGGGGAAAGTGTCCGGACTGGAAAGGGGGTGAATGTTGTCCGGACAGGAAGGGGGTTATTTTGGTGTGAAAGTGTCCGGACCTGGAAGGGGGTGAAAGTTTCCGGACTGGAAGAGGGGTGAAAGTGGTCCGGACTGGAAGGGGGTGAAAGTGTCCGGAACTGGAAGGGTGTGAAAGATGTCCGGACTGGGAGGGGGGGGGGGGGGAATGGAGGGAAGTAGTCCGGTCTGGGAAGGGGGGTAAAGTGTCCGGACTGGAAGGGGGTGAAAGTGTCCGGACTGGAAGGGGGTGTGAAAGTGTCCGCGACTGGAAAGGGGGGGGTGAAAGTGTCCGGACTGGAATTGGGGCGGATGTGTCGAGACTGGAAGAAGGGGGGAAAAGTGTCCCGAGACTGGAATAGGGGTGGGAAAGTGGTCCGGACTGGCAAGGGGGGGGGAAAGTGTCCGGACTGGAAGGGGGGGAGGAAAGTGTCCAGGATTACTGGAGTAGGGGGCGGAAAAGTGTCCGGACTGGAAGGGGGGGAAATGTGTCCGGACCTGTATGGAAGGGGGGGGAAAGTGTCCGGACTGGAAGGGGGGGGGGGAGTCCTGGACTGGATGGGGGGGGGGGGGAGTGTCCGGACTGGAAAGTGTCCGGACTGGAAGGGGGGGTGAGTGTCCCGGACTGGAAGGGGGGGAAAAGTGTCCTGGACTGGAAGGGGGGGGGAAAGTGTCCGGACTGGAAGGGGGGAAAGTGTCCGGACTTGGAAGGGGGGAAAGTGTCCGGACTGGAAGGGGGGGGAAAGTGTCCGAACTGGAAGGGGGGTGGAAAGATGTCCGGACTGGAAGGGGGGGGAGTGTATCCGGACTGGAAGGGGGGGGGGGAGTGTCCGGACCTGGAAGGGGGGGGGAAGTGTCCCCGGACAGGAAGGGGGGAAGTATGTCTGGACTGGAAAGGGGGGAGGGAAGTAAGTCCGGCACTGGAAGGGGGGGAAGTGTCCGGAACAGGAAGAGGGGGGAAAGTGTCCGGACTGGAAAGGGGGGAAAGTGTCCTGGACTGGAAGGGGGGAGTGTCAGGACTGGAAGAGGGGGGGAGCTGTACGGACTGGAGGGGGGAAAGTGTTCTGGACTGGAAGGGGGGGGAGGGTGTCCGGACTTGGAAGGGGGGGATGTAAGTTGACCCCCAAGTACAGTACCCCCCAATGTCAGAAATGGTCCGCCGCAGTCCCGCCATAACTTCGCTGATCGCCGCCATTATTTAGTATACAAAAAAAAATTAAAATCCCCGTATCTTTCCCGCCATTTGTAAACGCTTATAACTTTCATGTAAACCAATTAATTAACAAGTATCGGAGTTTTTTGTAGCAGAGACGTCACAGAATGCATTTTGGCTGAAATTTATGACGAAATTTGATTTTTAATTTTTTTTTACTGAACAAGTTTTATAGCAAAAAGTCCAAAATATTGTTTTTTTTTTCGCAAAATTGTCAGCCTTTTATTTGTTAGCGCAAAAAATAAAACCGCACAGGCGATCGAATACCACCCGAAAGAAAGCTCAATTTGTGTGAAAAAAAGGACATAAAATTGCATTTATGTACCGTATTGCATGACCGCGCAATTGTCTGTTAAACTAGCGCAGCGCTGGATAGCAGAAAAAACGGTGTAAATTCCATGATCTCTCCCATAGATTGTATCTCTATAAACTTCACACAAAGCAATCAATAGACAATTATTGGGGTTTTATTACCACACAAACATGGAGCGGGAGACAGTTTGGCCTAAATTTATAACCATGTTTGAGATTATTTATATATTTTTTATAAATTAATAAACAGAAGATTCTATACAATAAATCCTCAAAACATTTTGTGCAGTCCAAACCCTACAAGTCCAAAATTTAAATCAAGTTCTTCTCGTGTTCAAAAATCTTTCAAAAAAAATTCCTCCGATAATAAACCTCAAAGAAAGAAAAATAGTCACATAAAAAGCATTATCTTTTTTTTTAAACGAAATAAATAATAGTGACTTCATTTCAGGTGAATACCCAATCACAATAATCAGTGAAAAAGTGAACAAAGTGAAAAAAACTTCACCGTCAGGAGGTGAAAAGGAGAGTGAAAATCAAGACGCTTTTTATATCTTTCCAAAAGGTAGGTGGGGAGGGGGGGGGGAGACAGTCCCTCCTCCTATGGATCTTTACCCAGTATAGTCTGCCTTCATAATCCAGGGTCCGGACACTTCCCCCCTTCCAGTCCGGACACTTCCCCCCCCTCCTGTCCGGACACTTCCCCACCCCTTCCAGGTCGGACACTTTCCCCCCCTTTCCGGTCCGGACACTTTCCCCCCCTTCCAGTCCGGACACTTTCTTCCCCCCTCCCTTCCAGTCCGGACACTTTCCCCCCCCCTTCCGGTCCGGACTCACTTTCCCCCCCTTCGGTCCGGACACTTTCCCCCCCTTCCAGTGGAGTGGGACACTTCCCCCCCTTCCCAGTTACGGAACACTTCCCCCCCCCTTCCGGTCCGGACACTTCCCCCCCCTTCCGGTCCGGACACTTTCCCATCATTCCCGTCCGGACACTTTCACCCCCCTCCAGTCCGGACACTTTCCCCCCTTCCAGTCCGGACACTTTCCCCCCCCCCCTTCCGGTCCGGACACTTTCCCCCCCTTCCGGTCCGGACACTTTCCCCCCCTTCCTAGTCCGGACACTTTCACCCCCCTCCAGTCAGCGGACACTTTCCCCCCCTTTTTTCCCGGTCCAGACACTTTACCCCCCTTCCAGTCCGGACACTTTTCCCCCCCTTCCGGTCCGGACCACTTACCCCCCCCTTCGGCGGGCAGTCCGGACACTTTCCCGCCCCCCAACAGCTGACATTTTCCAGTCCGGGACAACTTTCCCCCCCTTCCGGTCCGGACACGTTCCCCCCTTCCAGTCCGGACACTTCCCCCCCCTTCCGGTGTCCCGGACAACTCCCCCCCTCCCCCCAGGCCAATTTCAGCTTTCAGGCGCTGATCACACTTTGAATGACTATTGCGCGGTTACATGCAACACTGTACACATAGGAATTGTTTAGCATTTTTTTTGAGACAGATAAAGCTTTATTTTGGTGATATTTATTCACTGCTAGAATTTTAATTTTGGAAAAAAAAAAAGTTTTTCTTATAATATTTTGCAAATAAATAATATTTCATCATAAATCTCGGCCAAAATTTATTCCGTTATCTTTTTAGTAAAAAAAATTAACCAAATTAGTTTATAACCAAAATATATAATTTTTAAATATTTTTATTTTATTTTTTTAATATTATTAAATTTTTTGTTTTTTTTTACATCCTGTCACCCTAGCAGTAGTGTCTCCATGGTGACACTGTACTACTTGTGGGGGGTGATGAAGATTTTTTTTTTTTTTTACACTGATTGCTTTTATACCCATAAAGGCTGTAAGAGGAAATCATTTCTCCTCTCTGGCTGCATTCCTGCAGCCATTGAGAACTACTGAGTGAGCTGTGATTGGTCAAACGTTGCCTGTCGCATGGTACAAGGCTGTTGTGATATGGCCCTGTACCATGTGATCTCTGTGATCATTCACAGGTTTCACAACGTAGTAAGCAATGATATCAGAAGTGACATCTTGTTATAACTATTCATGTGATCACTGATTGGCCAATCAGTGATCACATTGATCGGGACCCTCGCACAGAGGGTCCCAGTACAGTGATTGGTGTGCGGCGTTGCATGATCGTGCAATTGTCAGTTAACAGATTTTTGTGTTTCTGGTATAGATGATTTTTGTATTAGTGTTTGTATTGGACTTGTTGAATATAAATAATAAAAATATAAAAAACAAAAAAAAACCTCTCTGGTTCAGCCGCGTTTTCCATCCCCCCCCAGCAGCTCAGAAGTTGTTGGAGATGTACAACCCCCACCCCGGCACAACCTCTCTGCAGATTGTTACAGCTGCAGTAAAGAGAAACCTGTCTCTGAGCATCTCCCATCCTGCACCTCCGAGTGAAGCTTTCCTCTCCATGAAGCAGCCAATCAGTACACCCCGCGCAGGACAAAGATGGAGGCCGTACCTGGAGGAGCTTCTCGGTCTGCCATGGCGGAGCCGTCTCATTACCAGACGCTTCACTGGACGCCCGCGACTCCTCCATCCTGCAAAGAAAATTCACCGATTTCATGTCTGAGGATCAGATACAACATTTATGGTACATTTTTTGTTTCAATCGTTTTTTATTGCAAATTTTTTTTATCTTTTTTTTGGTTACATAAAATAAAAAGAGGAAGAAGACACAAGTGTCGGAGCGCTGCGATTGGAATGATCCAGGAAAATACTGAGATTCATACATAGAAGGAAAGACACTTATGCCGGCCATAGACGGGATGAAAATCGTCCAAAAAAAAAAAAAAAAAATTCGGCCGATTTATCGCACCGTTGGTGGGTTAATTGGTCGGCCGTTTTCCGGGGTTTGGAAAATACGCGGGGCCCGATTTTGCCGATCGGCCAATTTTCCCGGCAATGATGGGCAAATCGGCCGATCGGGTACTGATAAAAAATCTGCGCTTGAGCAGTGGGCCTGCGAGAGAAGAAGAAAAAAGAGAAGAAAAAGAAGAGGAAGAAGAAGAAAAAGAAGAAGAAAAAGAAGAGGAAAAAGAAAAAGAAGAAAAGAAGCAAAAGAAGAGGAAGAAGAAAAAGAAGAAAAGAAGTAGAAAAAAAGAAGAAAAAGAAGAGGAGAAAAAGAGAGAGAAAAAGAAGAATAAAGAAAAAGAAGAGGAAAAAGAAAAGAAGAAAAGAAGTAGAAAAGAAGAAGAAAAAAAGAAGAGGGATAAAAAGAAAAAAAGAAGATGAAAAAAAGAAGAAAAGAAGAGATAAAAAGAAAAGCAGAGGAAGAAGAATAAAGAAGCAGAAAAAGAAGATGAAAAAGAAGAAAAAGTAAAAGAAGAAGAAAAAGAAAAAAAGAAGAGGAAAAAGAAAAAGAGGAAGAAGAAATAGAAAAAAAAGAAGAAGAAATAGAAAAGAAGAAGAAGAAGAAAAGAAGTAGAAGCAAAAGAAGAGGAAGCAGAAAAAGTAAAAGAAGAAGAAAAAGAAGAATTCCAGTCAGCTATTATATTTTGACATGAAAAAGTCTTGCGGGTGCAACAATGTATCCGAATTAAAAACATCTGTATCTGAAATGGATACATTGTTGCATTGCAAGACCGCAAGACTTTTTCATGTCAACATTAATAGCGGACTCTGCAGGGACAGAAGTAATGAAATAAATGCCGGCCGCAGACGGGACAAAAATCGGCCAATCATTGTTACTGTTGGGTAATGTCGGCCGATCGAAGAACCGATTTTTAATCTTTTTCGTAAAAAAACCCGCCGGTTTTTCACCCATCTATGGCTGCATTATGGACAGCCAGATACACGTGTCTATCCCCCCCCCCCTCCCCCCAGGGGGTTAACCCCGAGGTGGGCAAGATAATTGCAGCAATCATTGTCTCTCCAACAATACGGAAAATGAAGAGTATTCATCTGAACACGTCTGTCCATCACCTCACGTGCCGCCACCTTGTGGGGACAGATGATAAAACAGAGCGAACGGTCCAGCCAATCCCTCCGAATTCTCACAAGATTTATGGGACACTCCCACTTCCGAAATTACCCGAGTACAATTAGATGCAATGTCCCAGCGGGGGTCACATTCCCTGTTACCATACAGAATCAAAAATCAGATATTTGCTCCAGGTAATAACAATTTAATACAGTGTCTCCAAACTGTGGCCCCTTCAGGCACTTCCACTGTTCCTCCCACTGACACCAATGATGGGGCACTATTCCTCCCACTGACACCAATGATGGGGCACTATTCCTCCCACTGACACCAATGATGGGGCACTATTCCTCCCACTGACACCCAATGAGGGGCACTATTCCTCCCACTGACACCAATGATGGGGCACTATTCCTCCCACTGACACAATGATGGGGCAACTATTCCCCACTGACACAATGATGGGGCACTATTCTCCCACTGACACCAATGATGGGGCACTATTCCTCCCACTGACACAATGATGGGGCACTATTCCTTCCACTGACACCAATGATGGGGACACTATTCCTCCCCACTGATACCATGATGGGGCACTCATTCCTCCACTGACATGAACACCAATGATGGGGCACTATTCCCCCCACTGACACCAATGATGGGGCACATATTCCTCCCACTG